GGCTTGTCTTCACTGTTGTAGGATGGGAGTTGAATACAGAAGCCAAGGCTTGTCTTCACTGTTGTAGGATGGGAGTTGAATACAGAAGCCAAGGCTTGTCTTCACTGTTGTAGGATGGGAGTTGAATACAGAAGCCAAGGCTTGTCTTCACTGTTGTAGGATGGGAGTTGAATACAGGAGCCAAGGCTTGTCTTCACTGTTGTAGGATGGGAGTTGAATACAGGAGCCAAGGCTTGTCTTCACTGTTGTAGGATGGGAGTTGAATACAGGAGCCAAGGCTTGTCTTCACTGTTGTAGGATGGGAGTTGAATACAGGAGCCAAGGCTTGTCTTCACTGTTGTAGGATGGGAGTTGAATACAGGAGCCAAGGCTTGTCTTCACTGTTGTAGGATGGGAGTTGAATACAGGAGCCAAGGCTTGTCTTCACTGTTGTAGGATGGGAGTTGAATACAGGAGCCAAGGCTTGTCTTCACTGTTGTAGGATGGGAGTTGAATACAGAAGCCAAGGCTTGTCTTCACTGTTGTAGGATGGGAGTTGAATACAGGAGCCAAGGCTTGTCTTCACTGTTGTAGGATGGGAGTTGAATACAGGAGCCAAGGCTTGTCTTCACTGTTGTAGGATGGGAGTTGAATACAGGAGCCAAGGCTTGTCTTCACTGTTGCAGGCTGGGAGTTGAATACAGGAGCCAAGGCTTGTCTTCACTGTTGTAGGATGGGAGTTGAATACAGAAGCCAAGGCTTGTCTTCACTGTTGTAGGATGGGAGTTGAATACAGAAGCCAAGGCTTGTCTTCACTGTTGTAGGATGGGAGTTGAATACAGGAGCCAAGGCTTGTCTTCACTGTTGTAGGATGGGAGTTGAATACAGGAGCCAAGGCTTGTCTTCACTGTTGTAGGATGGGAGTTGAATACAGAAGCCAAGGCTTGTCTTCACTGTTGTAGGATGGGAGTTGAATACAGGAGCCAAGGCTTGTCTTCACTGTTGTAGGATGGGAGTTGAATACAGGAGCCAAGGCTTGTCTTCACTGTTGTAGGATGGGAGTTGAATACAGGAGCCAAGGCTTGTCTTCACTGTTGTAGGATGGGAGTTGAATACAGGAGCCAAGGCTTGTCTTCACTGTTGTAGGATGGGAGTTGAATACAGAAGCCAAGGCTTGTCTCTCACTGTTGTAGGATGGGAGTTGAATACAGAAGCCAAGGCTTGTCTTCACTGTTGTAGGATGGGAGTTGAATACAGGAGCCAAGGCTTGTCTTCACTGTTGTAGGATGGGAGTTGAATACAGGAGCCAAGGCTTGTCTTCACTGTTGTAGGATGGGAGTTGAATACAGGAGCCAAGGCTTGTCTTCACTGTTGTAGGATGGGAGTTGAATACAGGAGCCAAGGCTTGTCTTCACTGTTGTAGGATGGGAGTTGAATACAGGAGCCAAAGGCTTGTCTTCACTGTTGTAGGATGGGAGTTGAATACAGAAGCCAAGGCTTGTCTTCACTGTTGTAGGATGGGAGTTGAATACAGAAGCCAAGGCTTGTCTTCACTGTTGTAGGATGGGAGTTGAATACAGAAGCCAAGGCTTGTCTTCACTGTTGTAGGATGGGAGTTGAATACAGGAGCCAAGGCTTGTCTTCACTGTTGTAGGATGGGAGTTGAATACAGGAGCCAAGGCTTGTCTTCACTGTTGTAGGATGGGAGTTGAATACAGGAGCCAAGGCTTGTCTTCACTGTTGTAGGATGGGAGTTGAATACAGGAGCCAAGGCTTGTCTTCACTGTTGTAGGATGGGAGTTGAATACAGAAGCCAAGGCTTGTCTTCACTGTTGTAGGATGGGAGTTGAATACAGAAGCCAAGGCTTGTCTTCACTGTTGTAGGATGGGAGTTGAATACAGGAGCCAAGGCTTGTCTTCACTGTTGTAGGATGGGAGTTGAATACAGGAGCCAAGGCTTGTCTTCACTGTTGTAGGATGGGAGTTGAATACAGGAGCCAAGGCTTGAATTCATGGATACTTCAATAAGTATTTTTGTAACACATGAAAACTCCTGTATTGATGGCTAACATGGTCATGAAGAAAAGTTTCAGATAATGACAACAGAAACTGTCTGTTTGTCCTGGCCCCCAAAAAAAAATATAATTCACAGTTTATATCTCCAGCGTTTGTTGCACTGTGACTGTAGACGAGCAGGTAAACATTGACCTATACCTGTGTGGGAGTGATGAGACATCTGTGTGGGAGTGATGAGACAACTGTGTGGGAGTGATGAGACATCTGTGTGGGAGTGATGAGACAACTGTGTGGGAGTGATGAGACATCTGTGTGGGAGTGATGAGACAACTGTGTGGGAGTGATGACACAACTGTGTGGGAGTGATGAGACAGCTGTGTGGGAGTGATGAGACAACTGTGTGGGAGTGATGAGACAACTGTGTGGGAGTGATGAGACAGCTGTGTGGGAGTGATGAGACAACTGTGTGGGAGTGATGAGACAGCTGTGTGGGAGTGATGAGACAACTGTGTGGGAGTGATGAGACAACTGTGTGGGAGTGATGAGACAGCTGTGTGGGAGTGATGAGACATATGTGTGGGAGTGATGAGACATCTGTGTGGGAGTGATGAGACAGCTGTGTGGGGAGTGATGAGACAACTGTGTGGGAGTGATGAGACAACTGTGTGGGAGTGATGAGACAGCTGTGTGGGAGTGATGAGACAACTGTGTGGGAGTGATGAGACAACTGTGTGGGAGTGATGACACAACTGTGTGGGAGTGCTGAGACAGCTGTGTGGGAGTGATGAGACAACTGTGTGGGAGTGATGAGACAAATGTGTGGGAGTGATGAGACAGCTGTGTGGGAGTGATGAGACAACTGTGTGGGAGTGATGAGACAACTGTGTGGGAGTGATGAGACAGCTGTGTGGGAGTGATGAGACAACTGTGTGGGAGTGATGAGACAAATGTGTGGGAGTGATGAGACAGCTGTGTGGGAGTGATGAGACAACTGTGTGGGAGTGATGAGACAAATGTGTGGGAGTGATGAGACAAATGTGTGGGAGTGATGAGACAACTGTGTGGGAGTGATGAGACAACTGTGTGGGAGTGATGAGACAGCTGTGTGGGAGTGCTGAGACAGCTGTCTTACAGTATGAGAAATATACAATTGTGTTGTACCAGAGATTATGTCAGTTCAAACAAAGAACATGATAGGATGTTACAAAATAACTATAACAGTTCAAAGATTCAACAATTTATGTTTTATCTTAGAACAATGCTGCATTCGAAACTATGCTCATTGAAATAAAGGATGAACAAATATAATAATAAATTTCTCAACAGCCATTATGACAGCACTGACTTTGGTTTTCCAAGTAGGATGGCTAGCACCAGTAACACTATGCCTTCCAAGATGTCTGTCTCCAACACCTGTGTGTCTGTCAAACATCAGTTTGTTTCCAATGCTGAAGCAACTGTTTGTTGACAAAACAATTACACATGCTTACAGACAAAAACATCATTTTATAATTGAGAACCTGCGGAGTTGGTTAACTGTGACTTGAGCATCTCATTTCTTGATGTTCTTCAACAGAATAATCTAGTGCACCTGCTTTCTTAATATAATAACTGAAAGAATCCTTAAAACAAATTTTCTCGATAACAGGATTGAAAATCTCTCATGTATGATAACAATTTCATTTATGTCCCAGAACATTGCATTAAAACATCCAGTCACATTGTAGGACTGAAATCAACACCACAGATGAGCTGCCATAAGTATATCAATCTATACCTCGGGAGCACCAGGAACTTCAATATTTCATTCAATAATAAATGAAACATGACTTTCAAAACCTTGCATCTGAAACACTCCATCTAAAGTTGTATAAATGTAATATATTCAAGGAAATGCCTTTATCGATGATACAAGAAACATCATTATATTTTTAATGTACTTGTGCAAGAATTTTCTTTTAGGTATGAAATATTTTGTCCAAAGAATCTGTCTTGACCAAAACAGTCTCTTAACTTTAAAGAAATGAACTTCACTCTTGCGTAAAGTTCAAGATACATGAAAATGTGTATGGTATGATCTGCATCTCTGGCTGATAGATGATGGATGGGATGGAGTCTGATGGGCGCAGGAAGAACCCCTCTGCATCTATGTAGGCATGTACAATAAGTAGTAGCAAGACCAAGTTCTGTAGTGTGGTATAAAAGTCAGTTGTAGGAAGTGGATCAGTTCTGTAGTGTGCTATGAAAGTCACTCGTAGGAAGTGGATCAGTTCTGTAGTGTGCTATGAAAGTCAGTTATAGGAAGTGGATCAGTTCTGTAGTGTGCTATGAAAGTCAGTTGTAGGAAGTGGATCAGTTCTGTAGTGTGCTATGAAAGTCAGTTGTAGGAAGTGGATCAGTTCTGTAGTGTGCTATGAAAGTCAGTTGTAGGAAGTGGATCAGTTCTGTAGTGTGCTATGAAAGTCAGTTGTAGGAAGTGGATCAGTTCTGTAGTGTGCTATGAAAGACAGGAAGTGGATCAGTTCTGTAGTGTGCTATGAAAGTCAGTTGTAGGAAGTGGATCAGTTCTGTAGTGTAGTATGAAACTTAGTTATAGGAAGAGGATCAGTTCTGCAGCGTGGTATGAAAGTCAGTTGTAGGAAGTGGATCAGTTCTGTAGTGTGCTATGAAAGACAGGAAGTGGATCAGTTCTGTAGTGTGGTATGAAAGACAGGAAGTGGATCAGTTCTGTAGTGGGGTATGAAAGTCAGTTATAGGAAGTGGATCAGTTCAGTAGTATGGTATGATAGACAGGAAGCGGATCCGTTCTGTAGTGTGGTATGAAAGACAGGAAGTGGATCAGTTCTGTAGTGTGGTATGAAAGTTAGTTATAGGAAGTGGATCAGTTCTGTAGTGTGGTATGAAAGTTAGTTATAGGAAGAGGATCAGTTCTGTAGTGTGGTATGAAAGTCAGTTGTAGGAAGTGGATCAGTTCTGTAGTGTGGTATGATCATAAAGATGAAGATATGTGCCGTAAAGATGAAGATATGTGCCATAAAGATGAAGATACGTGTTGTAAAGATGAAGATACGTGCCATTCAGATAAAGATATGTGCCATAAAGATGAAGATATGTGCCATAAAGATGAAGATATGTGCCGTAAAGATGAAGATACGTGTCGTAAAGATGAAGATACGTGCCATTCAGATAAAGATATGTGCCGTAAAGATGAAGATACGTGCCATAAAGATAAAGATACGTGCCGTAAAGATGAAGATATGTGCCGTAAAGATGAAGACACGTGCCATAAAGATGAAGATACGTGTCGTAAAGATGAAGATACGTGCCATAAAGATGAAGATATGTGTTATAAAGATGAAGATATGTGCCGTAAAGATGAAGACACGTGCCATAAAGATGAAGATACGTGTCGTAAAGATGAAGATATGTGTCGTAAAGATGAAGATACGTGCCATAAAGATGAAGATACGTGTCATAAAGATGAAGATATGTGCCGTAAAGATGATGATATGTGCCATAAAGATGAAGATACGTGTCGTAAAGATGAAGATACGTGCCATAAAGATGAAGATACGTGTTATAAAGATGAAGATATGTGTCGTAAAGATGAAGATACGTCTTATAAAGATGAAGATACGTGTCGTAAAGAGGAGGATATGTGCCATAAAGATGAAGATATGTGCAATAAAGATGAAGATACGTGTTATAAAGATGAAGATATGTGTCGTAAAGATGAAGATATGTGCCATAAAGATGAAGATACGTGTCGTAAAGAGGAGGATATGTGCTGTAAAGATGATGATATGTGCAGTAAAGATGAAGATACGTGTTATAAAGATGAAGATACGTGCCATAAAGATGAAGAAACGTGTTGTAAAGATGAAGATATGTGCCATAAAGATGATGATATATGCCATAAAGATGAAGATACGTGTTGTAAAGATGAAGATACGTGCCATAAAGATGAAGAAACGTGTCGTAAAGATGAAGATATGTGCCGTAAAGATGATGATATGTGCCATAAAGATGAAGATACGTGTTATAAAGATGATGATATGTGCCATAAAGATGAAGATATGTGTTATAAAGATGAAGATATGTGTTATAAAGATGAAGATACGTGTTATAAAGATGAAGATACGTGCCATAAAGATGAAGATACGTGTTATAAAGATGAAGATATGTGACGTAAAGATGAAGATACGTGCCATAAAGATGAAGATATGTGTTATAAAGATGAAGATAGTGTTATAAAGATGAAGATACGTGCCGTAAAGATGAAGATACGTGCCATAAAGGTGAAGACACGTGTCGTTAAGAGGAGGATATGTGCCATAAAGATGAAGATATGTGCAATAAAGATGAAGATACGTGTCGTAAAGATGAAGATATGTGCCATAATGATGAAGATATGTGCCACAGAGATAATGATACGTGCCATAAAGATGAAGATACGTGCCATAAAGATGAAGACACGTGTCGTAAAGAGGAGGATATGTGCCATAAAGATGAAGATATGTGCAATAAAGATGAAGATATGTGTCGTAAAGATGAAGATACGTGCCATAAAGATGAAGATACGTGCAATAAAGATGAAGATATGTGTTGTAGAGATGAGAGAGGTCCTGCAACAAATTAACCTGGAATCTTTTACACCCGAACAGCATCTTGACACCAGTATCTGGATACTATTGATGATGGCCATATGCTATCTGTCTAAATGAGTGTTGTGTCAGTAAGATGTCTACACATATAATAACATCAGGATGTTATGGGCCATATCTACCGGTGTTGTGTCACAGAGCCTTAGTTGCTATCATAGTATTCATAGTTGCTATCATCCACAACATATCTAATGTGCAGAGTATCAGATTTGTCCTTCTTGACAGACATCTTGACTCATGGAAGCATAACAATATATGGATGAACAACTTCAATATTGCTATGAGAGTGACATTTCGGTGTAGGTTCTAACACCGTTATCATTGTTAAGTGGACCAAGAAGTGGACCTTACGTAACCCCACCCCATTGTAAAGTAGACCAAGAAGTGGACCCCACCTTAACCCCTCCCCATTGTAAAGTAGACCAAGAAGTGGACCCCCACCTTAACCCCTCCCCATTGTAAAGTAGACCAAGAAGTGGACCGTACCTTAACCCCTCCCCATTTTAAAGTAGACCAAGAAGTGGACCGTACCTTAACCCCTCCCCATTGTAAAGTAGACCAAGAAGTGGACCTTACCTTAACCCCTCCAATTTTAAAGTAGACCAAAAAGTGGACCTTACCTTAACCCCTCCCCATTGTAAAGTAGACCAAGAAGTGGACCTTACCTTAATCCCTCCCCATTGTAAAGTCTACGAAGAAATGGACCCCACCTTAACCCCGCCCCATTGTAAAGTAGACCAAGAAGTGGACCTTAAGTTTACCCCTCCCCATTGTAAAGTAGACCAAGAAGGAAACAGGTAGCTGTGACATGTAGACACATCAGTTTATGTTCTCCATCCTCTCAGTAATAGCAATAATTCAGCAAATTACATATTGGATTACAGAAGTAATTGAGTCAAAATATCAATAATTACACTATGGATATATTTAATAAAACCCTGGGATATTTCCCATCACACCTCGTTATGTTCCCAGATGTTCTCTTCCAGCCACTATTTCCTCATATCACCAGCTTCATAATACAGTATGGTGTTTATTGACCACTCACAATGAGCCAATGGTTTGAGTGCATGTCTGTCAGTGAGATGGTAGATACTGAGATCACCCCACATGCTGGCATAGTAGTATATAATGATCTTCTAACAATATCCATTGTGTCAAGCAACCATTATTACCAGATGATGCTGTGTATTGATCCCAATAACAAAACCACAGTTTCACAAATGCCAGGGAATATATATTTTCTCTTTATCCCCAGCATTTAATCACAAGGAAATTACAAGGGTACAACTATGTGTAAAAGATGCCTGGCATTTAACTGCTACCTAGCGGTTATAAACTCATGGTGTTCCAAACAACAGAGGGCATATAATTAGTGAAATATCGTATAGTAAGTGGACATGAGTATAATACAAGAGGGTCAACTGTATGGCAAGAGATCAGATATCATCTTTGACATATAAGTTATTGTCCACACTCAAGACCTGTGTGAATCCAGCAACACTGACTTCACCTGTATTGACAGTTCAGTCGTGACAGACACTTTCATTATTTCATCCCTCTCACACAAACATAAATCACCCATAGTCTCACCATGTTCCTGAAAAGTAGTCAACATTTACAAACTCTACAAACCTGTACAAAAACCTGACACAAGTAGTTTCAAGTAGAAGTGACAATCTGTTTGTTAGGTATTTAATATGATGGCAGTCTGCAAATAATGAAGTCCAGAGCAGACAATCCAGTGATCAATTTCATGAGCATTACTTCACACATTACTTGGATAAAGTCACGTGTAGTCAATAAAGTCAGTGAGCATGACCCGCTGATTGACACTGAGTCTCCTCGCCACAAGCGACACGCATGGGTTAAGGAGGAAGTATATTCTTATTTAATATTCCATGCTGACTAATGCCTTATGTCTGATGACAAGTAGTGTCAGCCCCTGGCCATCAACTTCATGTCTACCTACATGTCAGTCTGTGAACAGGGGCATCTGACAATGACCCTCTCCAACTTCGGCAGTCCGTCTCATGACATTCAACAGAATTGTATAATTGATCAAGAGTTTTGTCTTTCAAACCATTCACTGATCATTAGAACCAATGTTGGAATTATACCCAGACTAGATCAGGGAATATATCATCAACCACACAGGTAGATGGTTCTACACTCACTGAGTTGCTAGTTTACATCACAAAGCACCACTGCTTCTAATCTGCAGACATCATCAGTCAAAGAATGTCAGGAAAATACCAGCAGACCTAACACGTGACTCTAACAAGAGATAATGTCCCTTAAACAGATACCAGAAGGCCTAATTCCTGACTCTAACATATGATAGCGTCCCTTAAACAGATACCAGAAGGCCTAATTCCTGACTCTAACATATGATAGCGTCCCTTAAACAGATACCAGAAGGCCTAATTCCTGACTCTAACATATGATACCAAGAGTGTCCCCATAAACAGATACCAGAGGCCTAATTCCTGACTCTAACAAGAGATAATGTCCCTTAAACAGATACCAGCAGACCTAATTCCTGACTCTAACCTATGATAGCGTCCCATAAACAGATACCAGAAGGCCTAATTCCTGACTCTAACATATGATAGTGTCCCTTAAACAGATACCAGCAGACCTAATTCCTGACTCTAACATATGATAGTGTCCCTTAAACAGATACCAGAAGGCCTAATTCCTGACTCTAACATATGATAATGTCCCTTAAACAGATACCAGAAGGCCTAATTCCTGACTCTAACATATGACTCTAACATAATTCCCTGACTCTAACATATGATAGTGTCCCATAAACAGATACCAGAAGGCCTAATTCCTGACTCTAACATATGATAGTGTCCCATAAACAGATACCAGAAGGCCTAATTCCTGACTCTAACATGAGATAGTGTCCCATAAACAGATACCAGAAGGCCTAATTCCTGACTCTAACATATGATAGTGTCCCATAAACAGATACCAGAAGGCCTAATTCCTGACTCTAACATATGATAGTGTCCCTTAAACAGATACCAGAAGGCCTAATTCCTGACTCTAACATATGATAGTGTCCCATAAACAGATACCAGAAGGCCTAATTCCTGACTCTAACATATGATAGTGTCCCATAAACAGATACCAGAAGGCCTAATTCCTGACTCTAACATATGATAGTGTCCCATAAACAGATACCAGAAGGCCTAATTCCTGACTCTAACATATGATAGCGTCCCATAAACAGATACCAGAAGGCCTAATTCCTGACTCTAACATATGATAGTGTCCCATAAACAGATACCAGAAGGCCTAATTCCTGACTCTAACATATGATAGGCGTCCCATAAACAGATACCAGAGGCCTAATTCCTCCTAACAAGAGATAATGTCCCTTAAACAGATACCAGCAGGCCTAATTCCTGACTCTAACATATGATAGCGTCCCTTAAACAGATACCAGAAGGCCTAATTCCTGACTCTAACATATGATAGTGTCCCATAAACAGATACCAGAAGGCCTAATTCCTGACTCTAACATATGATAGTGTCCCTTAAACAGATACCAGAAGGCCTAATTCCTGACTCTAACATATGATAGTGTCCCATAAACAGATACCAGAAGGCCTAATTCCTGACTCTAACATATGATAGTGTCCCATAAACAGATACCCAGGCCTAAAGGCCTAATTCCTGACTCTAACATATGATAGCTGTCCCATAAACAGATACCAGAAGGCCTAATTCCTGACTCTAACATATGATAGTGTCCCATAAACAGATACCAGAAGGCCTAATTCCTGACTCTAACATATGATAGTGTCCCATAAACAGATACCAGAAGGCCTAATTCCTGACTCTAACATATGATAGTGTCCCTTAAACAGATACCAGAAGGCCTAATTCCTGACTCTAACATATGATAGTGTCCCATAAACAGATACCAGAAGGCCTAATTCCTGACTCTAACATATGATAGTGTCCATAAACAGATACCAGAAGGCCTAATTCCTGACTCTAACATATGATAGCATATGTCCCATAAACAGATACCAGAAGGCCTAATTCCTGACTCTAACATATGATAGATGTGACTCCCATAAACAGATACCAGAAGGCCTAATTCCTGACTCTAACATATGATAGTGTCCCATAAACAGATACCAGAAGGCCTAATTCCTGACTCTAACATATGATAGTGTCCCTTAAACAGATACCAGAAGGCCTAATTCCTGACTCTAACATATGATAGTGTCCCCTTAAACAGATACCAGAAGGCCTAATTCCTGACTCTAACATATGATAGTGCCCCTTAAACAGATACCAGAAGGCCTAATTCCTGACTCTAACATATGATAGTGTCCCATAAACAGATACCAGAAGGCCTAATTCCTGACTCTAACATATGATAGTGTCCCATAAACAGATACCAGAAGGCCTAATTCCTGACTCTAACATATGATAGTGTCCCTTAAACAGATACCAGAAGGCCTAATTCCTGACTCTAACATATGATAGTGTCCCAT